ATATATATATATACCATGCTATATTCCATTTATAAATTTTACAAAAACAAATAATATTTATTGGAACACAGTAAAATAGTAACAAATAAAATGCATATATATTATAAATACTATTTTCCTGCACTTGCATTATGTATTGCATTCATACTTCATATATGTATTGCATTTAAATTTCATAACTCATATAGCGACATGACAAGTTTGTGGAGTTTATAAGATTTGTTATCTACAAATAAAATACATTAGTTTAATTTTCATTCATGCATTATGTACACCTTCATGACGAAATAAATTACTTTTCATAACATACACTAATTTCTACAAAATAAAATACAAGATGAATGACAATTGACATTACGTGTCATTGTTACTATATGTGTACTATATGTATACTATATCTACATTAAAGTTTCTTTTTACAATGGCATCTTTAACATAATATTGTTGTTTTTTTGTACAGTTTGCATAATAAAAAATAAAGTAAATGTATAAAAAAGGAGAATCATAAAATTTTTTTTCGTATTATGTAAATCTCTCTTTTATATATTAATTGCAGATAAAAAGGTATAAAATACAAAAAATATATTGTATTTTTTCCCCGTTCTGAAACATAATATATCATACAATGTAAAAAATAGTACAGCGACGTATATGTATATATTAACATTTAATACATATTTATAATTTCTTTATTAACGATTAAATCATACTCCATTACTATACTTTACATTTATAAAATGAATATAAAATGTATAAAAATATTCTGACACTGTTAATATTATTAACAGTACATAATATCATTAATTAATATCATGTGATATTATTTTGATAGATTAATAATATAATTGTTTATTATCTGACGATAATGATTGTACTAATTAATGCTAATTATAGTGTAATATTGGCCTTTATAGCAAATTAATAAGTGTGAAAATTTTTTATATTAGGCAAAGGAAATATGTGCATAGACAAAAGCAGTTGGTACAGAAATGAGAAAATAGAAGCTATCTCTCGTCAAAGTACGTGAAACCCAAGGGAATATGTTTATTTCTCAAAGCCGTAAATTAATTTCAAATTATGTGGCACTTCTCTTAACTAAGTGGCAACAACCATAAGGTTTTAAATCCTCCGAGGTTAATTAAATTCATATTAAGTATCTTGATATGATATATTACTTACCAAGATTGTAAATTATTAATCATTTCTATAATATGATATGAAAAATATGAAAACTGCACAAAAATACGAAATATTCCTAAAAAGTAGTGCAATTTCAAATCCAATATTCTTTTTTCTCTCTCTCGTAGAAGAATCAATTACATTTTTGTTATTAACTGGCTTTCTAATTAATTCTTGAACTTTTTACGAAGTAAAGACTCATTAAAAATTTTAATAACCTATTATTAAATTTTAATAATTCGAGTTACTAGAATTTCTTTAGCTACTAATATTAATAATTTATTAATGAGGCATGGTATTAAAAGCTTAATTAAAAAAAGAAATTATATACATAAGAAAAAATCGAAACATGTAAATCTTTTTCGGAAGACCTTATAAAAAGCAAGATATAAAATTAGCCTATAACGGGAAACGAATTTCGATCCTTAGGCAACCAAGTACTTTTGAGAGTAATAAATCGCGCAATAGAGGATTAAAATAGGATATTATATAGAAAGAAGAAAGAAGTAAGACTCACCGTGCTGGTGAAGCGATCAGGGATAAGGCTGTTTTTTTTTTGTATTTATGTGCGATTGTGGAGATGTGGATGTGGTTGGTGATGGTGATGATTGGTAGTTGGTGGCTGGTCTGAGAAAGTCCGCGTCCGGCACTCGTCCCCATGGAGAGTCCAAGTACCTAAATACGTTTTCTGAACCTGCTATAGGATAAAGGGATAAAAGGCAATGTTCGCGTGACAACTTCGAAACGGTTCATATCTCACAAGTAATTTGATCTTTATACGTGTTACGCTCGCCGAAAAAACCTTCCTCGCTTTTCAGACTATATTATTCATATAGGATATTTGAGAATCAGGAATTTTAGGAAACAATTTGGGGAACATTTTATTCACGTATCGGCACGTAACTTTATCAGTGATTTGAAATAACGGAATTAGAAAGGAAAGAGACAATATTTATTGTTCTGTTTCGAATCAATAAGATAAAATTAATAACATTTAATAGCTGTAAGTTCTCAGATTGGAATTGATATCAAGAAAATATAGTTCTATTTCACTGACAAAATGGGAGTTTGTAAAAGCAAATCCACGCGTTTTCTGTATGATTCTAATAGAATTATTAATTAAAATACAGTTATTAATAATACGTAAGAAAATAAGAATATTGAAATAGATAGTAAATATTTGAATTATCTTTGAATGACTCAATTAAATTAGCTGATAAGTTCTTGTTAATGTACTGGACTATCTGGCTGGGATGTGTTCGCACGGATTAATCAAATCCCTAAAAGTTATTGCCGCACGGTGGATTAATCGTCCTGTCCTAGAGGATCGCGATAAAGGATAATTGTACCAGGTCCACGCTGCCACAAGCTCACACGTTTCTCTAACGTGTCGTCTTCTAACGTTCTCCACGTCCGTTTCGATCAAGATAGAATGAATAGATGGTTCAATAAGGAAAGGATAAAAAGCGCATCATTAATTAAACTGCAAGATAGAATCGTGTTTTCGGAAAATAATAGTTTTCAATAAAAATTATATGACTTACATATTGCGAATAAAAAAGTAACATACAATCTTTGTTGAAATGTAAAGAAGAGTAGTATCATTTTAATTTATTTGTTATATCTTTTCAACGTATAAAGTATTGGAACACAATATACAGTTCAACGGATTGAAAAAAGCGTGTCATGGTAAGAAAACTTCAGTAATCGTGAATCATCTTAATATTATCAATTTTAAAGAGAGGAAAGACTAGAGAGATCCTATATATTTTATTTCTCTGTCATGCAAATATATTTGAACTGGGAACAGGAGTAAATTAGAAGACGCACTGAAATGCCAATAAAATATACTTCAAACACATTGCACTAATGCATGCATATAAACGATAATGACGTTTCAAATAAAACGTCGTGTCATGCTGTTTCAAAAGCCATTTATATTGACTAAACTTACTAAAAAGTAAGTTAGAAGTTCAGTATTTAGTATTCAATGTGCATCAATATGCAGAATTCCGTGCAGAATTATTAATATTGCTGTATGATATACCTGTATTATGTTATCAGTATTTTTCAAATCTATTATGTGTGTTTCATAGATAATTAAAACATTTATAACCTAATTAAAAGATCTCATCACAATGATATATTGTTAGATTGTTTACTGAATTATTGAATTATTCATGAGAACACATGAGAAGCACTTTCATACACACAGAAATTAAATTTATACTGATATTTACTTCTTTGTTTTGACGTCTATCATTCACTCATTTCTTCAAGTTTTTTCCATTGTCTTAATATCTTCTTTCTTATAAAAAAATATGCCAATTACAGATTGGAGTTGCATGCACATCGAAAGGTATGATTAAGGTTAATGTACATTCAAAGGAAATCATTGATTATGCATTGTTATCTTTGATAAATTGAATATTCGTCTGAATATATTTTGTAATCAAACAATGCTCAATTACTTGACCTTAATGAGAAATAAAATGTCTTTATAACCAGCATTTTCCAGTAACTTTAATGCAGTTTGTCTTTTATAAACGCAATTTACATTTAATAACTTTAATTAAAATACTTATTAAGTTTCTAATTTTACGATGTCTTTGAAAAAAACTTCATCAAAGAAATATTAATAATCTACGATACAGAAAGTTCTTGTATCGATAAAATAAGTGCATCGTGTTTGATTATAAATTCTGCTTATATAATTCAAAGTACTTATCAAAAACAATGTTTTTATACAATAATATTTTTAATACAACTAACTTGCAGTAATATTACATTCTGTAATAGCAATGTTAAAATCAAAAATAGTCAATAATATACGAATTGTAAGAAAAATGACACAAAAAACCAC